GCAGCACGATGGGGCTGGAGGGACCCGAGGGCTGCGGGAAAGGACGGGTGGGACGCCAAAATCCCCCCAAAATCCCCCAGAAGTCCCTCCAAAGCAGCCCCAAAATCCCGTAAAATCGCCCCAAATCTCCCAAAATGCTCCCAAATCCCCCCAAAATCCCCGAAAATGCCCCCCACCCGGGGGTTGCTGTGGGGAGGGGGGCTCAGGGAACCGAGGACCCCCGGCTCCAGCTCCAGCAGCACCGCGGCCACCAGGAGCTGTCCCCTGTCCCCTCCTTGTGGCCATTTCTGTCTCCCGGGATTTCTATTTCCCGGGATTTCTGTTTCCCGGGATTTCTGTTTCCCTGGAATTCCGTTTTCCCTGGAATTCCGTTTCTCGGGACTTCTGTTTCCTTGGAATTCTATTTCCCTGGAATTCCGATTCCCTGGAATTCCTGTTTTCTTGGAATTCTGTTTTCCCTGGAATTCTGTCTCCCGGGATTTCTGTTTTCCCGGGATTTCTGTTCCCCTGGAATTCCGTTTTCCCTGGAATTCTGTCTCCGGGGATTTCTGTCTTCCGGAGATTTCTGTTTTCCCGGGATTTCTGTTCCCCTGGAGCCTCCCTCCCACAAATATTCCCGAATTTCGGATCTGCTGCTCCCTCTCCCGCCGCAGATCCAGGGGCATCTCCCCAAAATTTGGGCTGTTGGATTTGGCTTTGGCACCGAACCCCCGCGGAGGTGACAGAGGCGGAACTGCCGGGATTAATTAGTTAATTAATCCTAAAATCCAATTAGGAGATTTTCATCCGGGTGCCTCCGAGATAAGAGATCCCAAATCCGCCCGGGGCTGCCCGCGGGAGGTGCGGAGAAGCTTCCAGAACTTTCGGGAGCGGCGGTGACCCCGGGCCAGCCCCGAGCCGCCCCGGGAAATCCTTTGGGGCGGATTTGGGGCGGATTTGGGGCCAGGGAAAAACGGGGCTGGGCCCGAAAGGCGCCCGGGAGAGCGGCTGGAGCGGGGAAGGAGATCCCAAAAGCAGGAATGTCCCCGAGGCCGCGGGGACAGCGGCGCTGGGCTCTGCCAGGGAGGGGACAGCGCGGGGACACAGCCGGGGACATTGCGGGGACAGTTTCCCGGGATTTCTTCTTTTCCCGGGATTTCTGTTCCCCTGGAATTCCGTTTTCCCTGGAATTCTGTCTCCGGGGATTTCTGTCTTCCGGAGATTTCTGTTTTCCCGGGATTTCTGTTCCCCTGGAGCCTCCCTCCCACAAATATTCCCGAATTTCGGATCTGCTGCTCCCTCTCCCGCCGCAGATCCAGGGGCATCTCCCCAAAATTTGGGCTGTTGGATTTGGCTTTGGCACCGAACCCCCGCGGAGGTGACAGAGGCGGAACTGCCGGGATTAATTAGTTAATTAATCCTAAAATCCAATTAGGAGATTTTCATCCGGGTGCCTCCGAGATAAGAGATCCCAAATCCGCCCGGGGCTGCCCGCGGGAGGTGCGGAGAAGCTTCCAGAACTTTCGGGAGCGGCGGTGACCCCGGGCCAGCCCCGAGCCGCCCCGGGAAATCCTTTGGGGCGGATTTGGGGCGGATTTGGGGCCAGGGAAAAACGGGGCTGGGCCCGAAAGGCGCCCGGGAGAGCGGCTGGAGCGGGGAAGGAGATCCCAAAAGCAGGAATGTCCCCGAGGCCGCGGGGACAGCGGCGCTGGGCTCTGCCAGGGAGGGGACAGCGCGGGGACACAGCCGGGGACATTGCGGGGACAGCGAGGGACAGTGCGGGGATAGCGCGGGGACACAGCCGGGGACAGTGCGGGGACAGTGCGGGGACACAGCCGGGGACATTGTGGGGACATGGCGGGGACAATGCAGGGACACAGCTGGGGACAGTGCGGGGACACAGCTGGGGACAGTGCGGGGACAATGCAGGGACACAGTCGGGGACATTGCGGGGACATTGCGGGGACACAACCACCCTTCTCCTCGCAGCTGCCGCTCCCGGTTTGTCCCCCCGGGGCTCGGGGACCTGCGGCGGTGCCCCCGCCACCCCGGGCACCGACCCCGCAGCTGGAGCCCCGCGGTGGCACCGGGAGCGCCCCCGGAGGGAGCCGGGGGTGTCCCCAAATGTCACCCTAAAGGTGGCCCCGTCCCATCCCCAGCCCTGCCCGGTGCCCCCGGCGCTCCCCGAGCGGTGGAGCCCCGGCCGCGGGCACCGGGAGCCCGGAGGTTTCGGGGACCCCCGGGAGGAGCCCCCGGAGCTGCGGGAGCGAGGTCCTGCCCTCGTGTCGCTGTCGCGGGTCGCGGCCGCCACCGCGCTGCGAGGGCCGGGGCTGCCCCGGGCCGCGGGGACCGGAGGTGGCGACGTGTCCCGAGCGGCGGTGACAGCGCCACCGGGGCGGGGTCACCTCCCCCGGCCCCGCACGGCCCCGGGACAGAGCCACGGCTCGGTGCCAGGACGGGACCCCCTGGATGTGACACCCCAGGACAGGGACAGGACCCCCAGGATGTGACACCCCAAGGACAGGGACAGGACCCCCTGGATGTGACACCCCAAGGATGTGACACCCAGGACAGGGACAGGACCCCCAGGATGTGACACCCCCAGGACAGGGACAGGACCCCCTGGATGTGACACCCCAAGGATGTGACACCCAGGACAGGGACAGGACGACCCCCCCAGGACAGGGACAGGACCCCCTGGATGTGACACCCCAAGGATGTGACACCCAGCCTCCCCCGGGTCCCCCCAACCCCTTCCCCCCCCAGGAGTTCCCCGGGATGGCTGAGCCAGGAACTGGGGGGGTGCGAAAGCGGCAGAAAAAAGGAAGGAAATGGAAATGAAGAGAAGAAAACGTCCCTGGGGGGTGGGGACAGACCCAGAGCCCCTCGGAATCCACCTGGGGTGACCCCCCCCCAAACCACCAGCACCTCGGGGGGGCTGTGCTGGCTCTGGGTCACCCCAAAATCTGTCACCCAGGGAAGGAGCTGTGACCCCTGTGCCCACCCAGCCACTGCCCATCCCTGGCACCTCCATTCCCCTGGAAATCAAACCATGGGAAGCCCATTCCTGATGTCCCACCTTGCCCGGGACCCCCATCCCAGTGCTGACATTCCCCAGGATCTCCATGGCCCAGCACCCCATTCCCAGGAACCCTCTCCCGTTCATTCCCCCCCCTGAAATCTCCCCTCCCCCAAGACCTTGATTCTCCCAGCACTCCCCATTCCCACGGGACCCCCCATACCCCCTGCACCCCATCCTTGGCACACCCATCCCATGACCCCAAATCCCTGGAGCCCACGTTCCCCTGGCACTCCCATCCCTGAGTGCCCCCAGCCCTGGGGACCCCCATTCCCATGGCACCCCCATCCCCGGTGACTGCCCCTCCTCAGGACCCCCATTCCCAGGGACCCCATCCCTGGGGCTCCTCATTCCCCTGGACACCCATCCCTGCCTCCCCAAACCCCCTGAGCCCCCCACTCCTGGGAACCCCGTGTCCCACCGTGTGCCACCCAGCCTGTCCCCATCCTGTCCCCACCCAGCCCCCACCGCGTCCCACCCCCACCATGTGGGATGAGATGTAAATTCTCTTCCTTCCCCTTTATCTCAAGAGCCACCAGGCTGGGGACAGGTGGCCCTGGCAGCGAGTGACAGCCAGCCCTCATGGCTGGGGACACCGGGATGGCCGGGAGGGTGACACTGCTCCTGTGGGGTGAGTGCCCCGGGGATGGGGAGGGGGCACAGCGGGGCTGCGGGGTCCCCTGAGGCCAGCAGAGCCAGTGGGGGACACAGCCAGTGTGACCGGGGTGGCCCTGGGGACAGGAATTTGGGGACATGAATGTGGGGTTTGGCACCTTGGGGCTGTGGCGGCTGTGGTGACAGGGGGACAGGAGGGCAAGGACAGCGACAAGGGGACAAGCACCATGGGGATGTGGCCACGGGGACAGGTGCCATCAGAATGGGGACAGTGCCATGGGGACGTGGCTGTGGGGCTGGCAGGGGTGACCTGTGCCATCCCGGGGTGGCCGCGGTGTCCCCGTGGCATCCATGCCACCCGAACGTGGCGCGTGGGCGGCTGTGACAGGGCTGTCCCCTGGGAGCCTCTCCAGACCTGCTGGGGACAGTCCCCGAGCACTTTCCCACAAGCACTGCTGTCCCCATGGGACACGGCTGCCACACCCCGTGTCCCCGTGCTGCTGTCCCCACAGTGCCACCCCCACTGAGCCCTGTCCCTTCTCCCTTCCAGCCCAGACCTTCGGCCTCGCTGGTGAGTCCCCGTGGGATGCCATGTCCCCACCCCGCTGTCCCCAGCCCCGCGCTGGCCCTGGCAGGCTGGTGTCCCCCGGCAGGCTGGTGTCCCCCGGCAGGCTGGTGTCCCCTGTCACCCGCAGGAGCCCAGACCACCCAGCTCCTCGTGGAGCCCCCCTGGAGGCCACCAGTGTGGTGGGACCCGGTGACACTGACCTGCCAGGGCTCGGGGACCGCCGGTGCCACCACCTGGTACAAGGACAGACAGCTCTGGTGGCCGGAGGGACCCGACCGCCTCACTGTCACCGAGAAAGGCACCTACACGTGTGACAGACCCGACACCGGGCTCAGCCCCTCCGTGAGTGTCTCAAACGGTGAGGGGGGGTTTGGGTGTCCCCAGGCTGGCACCCGCGGGGACCCCGAGGGCTCTGGGTGGGCTCTGCTCCATTTGTCACCTCCTGTGTGACCTGAGCCCGTCCCCGGCTCTGGCGACATCAAAGAGCATCCCAGAGAGGGGGACACTGCTGGAATTGGGGACGCCTGGTGCGCTGGGTGTGACCCAGTTCAGGGTCCCGGTGCCATCGGGTGTGTCATGTCCCCTCTGTCCCCCAGCCTGGCTGGTGCTGCAGGTGCCCGCGCGGGCCCTGCTGGAGGGCCACCATGTGGGATGAGATGTAAATTCTCTTCCTTCCCCTTTATCTCAAGAGCCACCAGGCTGGGGACAGGTGGCCCTGGCAGCGAGTGACAGCCAGCCCTCATGGCTGGGGACACCGGGATGGCCGGGAGGGTGACACTGCTCCTGTGGGGTGAGTGCCCCGGGGATGGGGAGGGGGCACAGCGGGGCTGCGGGGTCCCCTGAGGCCAGCAGAGCCAGTGGGGGACACAGCCAGTGTGACCGGGGTGGCCCTGGGGACAGGAATTTGGGGACATGAATGTGGGGTTTGGCACCTTGGGGCTGTGGCGGCTGTGGTGACAGGGGGACAGGAGGGCAAGGACAGCGACAAGGGGACAAGCACCATGGGGATGTGGCCACGGGGACAGGTGCCATCAGAATGGGGACAGTGCCATGGGGACGTGGCTGTGGGGCTGGCAGGGGTGACCTGTGCCATCCCGGGGTGGCCGCGGTGTCCCCGTGGCATCCATGCCACCCGAACGTGGCGCGTGGGCGGCTGTGACAGGGCTGTCCCCTGGGAGCCTCTCCAGACCTGCTGGGGACAGTCCCCGAGCACTTTCCCACAAGCACTGCTGTCCCCATGGGACACGGCTGCCACACCCCGTGTCCCCGTGCTGCTGTCCCCACAGTGCCACCCCCACTGAGCCCTGTCCCTTCTCCCTTCCAGCCCAGACCTTCGGCCTCGCTGGTGAGTCCCCGTGGGATGCCATGTCCCCACCCCGCTGTCCCCAGCCCCGCGCTGGCCCTGGCAGGCTGGTGTCCCCCGGCAGGCTGGTGTCCCCCGGCAGGCTGGTGTCCCCTGTCACCCGCAGGAGCCCAGACCACCCAGCTCCTCGTGGAGCCCCCCTGGAGGCCAGCGGTGCTGTGGGACCCGGTGACACTGACGTGCCAGGGCTCGGGGACCACCGGTGCCACCACCTGGTACAAGGACAGACAGCTCTGGTGGCCGGAGGGACCCGACCGCCTCACTGTCACCGAGAAAGGCACCTACACGTGTGACAGACCCGGCAGCGGGCACAGCCCCTCCGTGAGAGTCTCAGATGGTGAGGGGGGGTTTGGGTGTCCCCAGGCTGGCACCCGCAGGGACCCCGAGGGCTCTGGGTGGGCTCTGCTCCATTTGTCACCTCCTGTGTGACCTGAGCCCGTCCCCGGCTCTGGCGACATCAAAGAGCATCCCAGAGAGGGGGACACTGCTGGAATTGGGGACGCCTGGTGCGCTGGGTGTGACCCAGTTCAGGGTCCCGGTGCCATCGGGTGTGACATGTCCCCTCTGTCCCCCAGACTGGCTGGTGCTGCAGGTGCCGGTGCGGGCGCTGCTGGAGGGGGACACGGTGACACTGCGCTGCCGGGGCTGGCGGAACTACAGGGTCACCGAGGTGTCCTTCTACCGCGAGGGGAAGGAACTGGGGGGGCTCCGCGATGGCACCGAGCTGTCCCTGTCCCCTCTGCAGCTGAGCCACAGCGGCCGCTACCGCTGCAAGGGCCGGGTGGGATCCTGGAGGAGGGAAGAGTCAGCGCCGGTGACAGTGACAGTGCACGGTGAGCACCCCACAGCCCCCACCCCGACACCCCCACTGCCCTCCCCAGGCTCTCGGGCTCACAAACCCCCTCCCCGACACCAGCTTTGTCCCCAGTGGTGACAAGGAAGGGACGCAGAGGTGACAGGGCACAGGTGGCATCACCCCAGGTCACTGTGGCAGGACAGCTGGGTTTGCCCTGGAGGTGACACGGAGGTGACAGGGCACAGGTGGCATCACTCGGGGTCGCTGTGAGGGCTCGGACTGCCGGGTTTGTCCCCACTCTGTCCTTGGTGACACGGAGGTGGCAGCCCTTTCCCCGCAGCCCCCAGGATCCCCGAGGACAGGTGAGTGCGGGAGGGGCCCGGGGGTGTCCCCGTGTCCCCAAACGCCACCTTGAGGCCACCCCGCTGTCGCCGTTGTCCCCGCAGGACCCCCGCGGTGCCCCCCGAGGCGGGGGAGGTGCTCTACACCCAGGTGGTGCCCACGGCGAGGGCGGCGGGTGAGCGGGGACAGCGCGTGGCACCGGGGGGGGCACCGGGGGTGGCACCGGGGGCATAAATGCCACCCCCAGGGAGCTGCCGGGTCCCCAAATGCCGCCCAGGGGACAGCGGTGACATCGGTGGGAACGTGCTGTGACAGTGGGGGACACTGGGGGTGGCGCTGGGTGGCATTGGGTGGCACCGGGGGTGGCACCGGGGGCATAAATGCCACCCCCAGGGAGCTGCCGGGTCCCCAAATGCCGCCCAGGGGACAGCGGTGACATCGGTGGGAACGTGCTGTGACAGTGGGGGACACTGGGGGTGGCGCTGGGTGGCATTGGGTGGCACTGGGGGTGGCACTGGGTGGCATTTGTTGGCACTGGGAGTGGCACTGGGGGACACTGGGTGGTACTGGGTAGCACCGGGGGTGGCACTGGGGTCCTAAATGCCACCCCCAGGGAGCTGCCGGGTCCCCAAATGCCACCCAGGGGACAGCGGTGACATCGGTGGGAACGTGCTGTGACAGTGGGGGACACTGGGGGTGGCGCTGGGTGGCATTGGGTGGCACTGGGGGTGGCACCGAGGGACACTGGGGGATACTGGGTGGCATTGGGTGGCACTGGCTGGCACTGGGGGACACTGGGGGTGGCACTGGGTGGCACTGGGGGACACTGGGTGGCACTGGCTAGCATTTGTTGGCATTGGGGATGGCACTGGGTGGCATTGGGTGGCACTGGGGGTGGCACCGAGGGACAGTGGGTGACACTGGGTGGCATTTGCTGGCACCGGGGTGGCACTAGGGGACACTGAGTGGCACTGGGTGGCACTGGGGGACACTGGGTGGCACTGGGTGGCACTGGGGATGGCACTAGGGGACACTGGGTGTGGAACTGGGGGACACTGGGTGGCATTGGGTGGCATTTGTTGGCACTGGAGGTGGCACTGAGGGACACTGGGGGTGGCACTGGGTGGCATTGGGTGGCACTGGATGGCACTGGGAGACACTAGGTGGCACTGGGTGGCATTTGTTGGCACGGGGGTGGCACTGGGGGTGGCACTGGGTGTGGCACTGGGTGGCACTGGGGGACGCTGGGTGGCACTGGGGGACATTGGGTGGCATTTGTTGGCACTGGGGGTGGCACTGGGTGGCACTGGGGGACGCTGGGTGACACTGGGTGGCATTTGTTGGCACGGGGGTGGCACTGCGGGTGGCACAGGGTCCCCAAATGCCACCCAGGAGACCAAGGAGAAGCGCAGGCACGGGGACGTGGCACCCGTGGGTGGCACTGGGTGGCATTGGGTGGCACTGGATGGCACTGGGAGACACTAGGTGGCACTGGGTGGCATTTGTTGGCACGGGGGTGGCACTGGGGGTGGCACTGGGTGTGGCACTGGGTGGCACTGGGGGACGCTGGGTGGCATTGGGGGACATTGGGTGGCATTTGTTGGCACTGGGGGTGGCACTGGGTGGCACTGGGGGTGGCACTGGGGGACACTGGGTGGCACTGGGGGACGCTGGGTGACACTGGGGGACGCTGGGTGGCATTTGTCGGCACCGAGGGTGGCACTGCGGGTGGCACAGGGTCCCCAAATGCCACCCAGGAGACCAAGGAGAAGCGCAGGCACGGGGACGTGGCACCCGTGGGTGGCACTTGGTGGCACCGGTGTCTCCCGCAGGGTCCCCAGGTGCCACCCCCGAGGTCCCCCAGGTGACCTACGCGGAGCTGCCGGGACCGCGGTGGCACCCGGGGGACGGCGGTGACTACGAGAACGTGCTGTGACACCGCGGTGGCACCAGGGGGTGGCACCGGCTCCCCAAAAAGCCACCCGGGGACAGCGGTGACACCCACGAGGCCGTGCTGTGACACCGGGGGTGGCACTGGGGACAGGCACACGCGTGTGTCCCCTGATCCTGTGGGTGCCCACCCTGCCCACGGCCACCGGGACCTGTCCCTGTCCCTGTCCCCTCCCTGTCCCTGTCCCTGTCCGTGTCCCTGTCCCTGTCCCCTCCCTGTCCCTGTCCCTGTCCCTGTCCCTGTCCCTGTCCCTGTCCCTGTCCCTGTCCCTGTCCCTGTCCCTGTCCCTGTCCCTGTCCCTGTCCCTGTCCCTGTCCCTGTCCCTGTCCCTGTCCCTGTCCCTGTCCCTGTCCCTGTCCCTGTCCCTGTCCCTGTCCCTGTCCCTGTCCCTGTCCCTGTCCCTGTCCCTGTCCCTGTCCCTGTCCCTGTCCCTGTCCCTGTCCCTGTCCCTGTCCCTGTCCCTGTCCCTGTCCCTGTCCCTGTCCCTGTCCCTGTCCCTGTCCCTGTCCCTGTCCCTGTCCCTGTCCCTGTCCCTGTCCCTGTCCCTGTCCCTGTCCCTGTCCCTGTCCCTGTCCCTGTCCCTGTCCCTGTCCCTGTCCCTGTCCCTGTCCCTGTCCCTGTCCCTGTCCCTGTCCCTGTCCCTGTCCCTGTCCCTGTCCCTGTCCCTGTCCCTGTCCCTGTCCCTGTCCCTGTCCCTGTCCCTGTCCCTGTCCCTGTCCCTGTCCCTGTCCCTGTCCCTGTCCCTGTCCCTGTCCCTGTCCCTGTCCCTGTCCCTGTCCCTGTCCCTGTCCCTGTCCCTGTCCCTGTCCCTGTCCCTGTCCCTGTCCCTGTCCCTGTCCCTGTCCCTGTCCCTGTCCCTGTCCCTGTCCCTGTCCCTGTCCCTGTCCCTGTCCCTGTCCCTGTCCCTGTCCCTGTCCCTGTCCCTGTCCCTGTCCCTGTCCCTGTCCCTGTCCCTGTCCCTGTCCCTGTCCCTGTCCCTGTCCCTGTCCCTGTCCCTGTCCCTGTCCCTGTCCCTGTCCCTGTCCCTGTCCCTGTCCCTGTCCCTGTCCCTGTCCCTGTCCCTGTCCCTGTCCCTGTCCCTGTCCCTGTCCCTGTCCCTGTCCCTGTCCCTGTCCCTGTCCCTGTCCCTGTCCCTGTCCCTGTCCCTGTCCCTGTCCCTGTCCCTGTCCCTGTCCCTGTCCCTGTCCCTGTCCCTGTCCCTGTCCCTGTCCCTGTCCCTGTCCCTGTCCCTGTCCCTGTCCCTGTCCCTGTCCCTGTCCCTGTCCCTGTCCCTGTCCCTGTCCCTGTCCCTGTCCCTGTCCCTGTCCCTGTCCCTGTCCCTGTCCCTGTCCCTGTCCCTGTCCCTGTCCCTGTCCCTGTCCCTGTCCCTGTCCCTGTCCCTGTCCCTGTCCCTGTCCCTGTCCCTGTCCCTGTCCCTGTCCCTGTCCCTGTCCCTGTCCCTGTCCCTTCCCTGTCCCCTCCCTGTCCCTGTCCCTGTCCCCTCCCCATGGCCCTCGTCCCTCTGCCCGCCCCAGCCGCAGGAATTTGGGACAATCCCAAGAACGAGCCCAGAGTGGCCCCGGGTGACCCCAGGGGGGTTGGGGACAGCCCGGGGGGGTTGGGGACAGCCCGGGGGGGTTGGGGACAGCCCCGAGGTCCCCCCGAGCCCCCCGGTGGGCGGGGATGGGGATGGGGGCAGGAGGGGCTGGGCTTTGGTTCCTTTTCTGTTTTCATGGACGAGAAATTCAGCAAGAAATTCAACAATAAATAAAACAATAAATTCAACAATAAATTCAACAATAGATTCAGCAATGAATTCAGCAGTGAATTCAACAAGAAATTCAGCAATAAATTCAGCAATGAATTCAGCAATAAATTCAACAATAGATTCAGCAGTGAATTCAGCAATAAATTCAACAATGAATTCAACAATGAATTCAGCAATAAATTCAACAATAAATTCAATTATTGCCCCCAAACTTCGCCCCAGACCGAGCCCAGCCTGCCGGGGCTGGGGGGGCCCCAGGGGGTGACCAGGGGGGTCCCTGTTGCCTGGTCCTGATCCTGTTCCCGTTCCGTTCCCATTCCCGTTCCATTCCCATCCCCATTCCCGTTCCCATTCCCGTTCCATTCCCGTTCCCAAGTTTTTGGGGTGCAATCAATGCTAGGTGTTTTTGGGGTGCAGTCTTTGTGGTGCAATCAACGCCCGGTGATTTTTGGGCGCGCCCTTTGCGCCTCACCTTCACCCCACACCTCAAGCACACCCACCAGTTACCCACCACCCCCTTCTGGGGGTGCACCCCCCACTTCGCCCTCACCTGACCCCCAAACCCCCCTCAGGTGCCCTGGACGACTTCGAGCGCAGCCGCCCCGCGCCCCCTGCGCGCCCCTCCTCCCCTCCGTGCCCCCCTTCGGCCGCCGACTCCCCCAAGGTGGGCACCCCAAAACCCCTCGTTCCCCGCCGGCGGGGCCGCGCCGGCGCCGCTGACGCCCGGCCAGGGCTCGCTGTTCTCCTCGCAGGAGAGGTTCTTCCAGGAGCTCTTCGAGGGCGAGCTGGCGGCGCAGGCGGCGGCCGAGTTCCAGGAGGCCATGCGGGAGCTGGCCCGCCAGGAGCCCCAGCTGCTGGAGCAGTTCCAGAAGCTCTCGGAGGCGGCCGGGAAAGTCGGTGGGTGGGTGGGCTGGGGGCTGCGGGGAGGGGGGGGGTCTCGGCCATGGGAATTCCCCCGCAGGCAGCGACGCGGCCTCGCAGCAGGAATTCACCTCCTGCCTCAAGGAGACCCTGAGCGGGCTGGCCAAGAACGCCAATGACCTGCAGGTACTCCCTCCCAGCCCCTCCCGGGGGGCTCCCGGGGGGCTCCCGGGGGTCCCGGGGGGCTGACGGCGCCGGGGGTCCCGCAGAATTCCCCGGGCTCGGAGGAGGAGCTGGCCAAGGCCCTGGAGGGGCTGGGGCTGGAGGAGGGCGGCGGGGACGGCGTCCTGCCCGTCATGCGCAGCATCATGGAGTCCCTGCTGTCCAAGGACGTGCTCTACCCCTCCCTCAAGGAGATCACTGAGAAGGTGGGACCCCAAAAACCGGGAGGAACCCCAAAAACCGGGAGGGACCCCAAAAAACCTGAGGGGGGTCCCCGAAATCCTGGAGGGATTAGCGGGAAACTCAGGGGTGGCATGGGGACATCATGGGGTCCCTGCTGTCCAAGGACGTGCTCTACCCCTCCCTCAAGGAGATCACTGAGAAGGTGGGACCCCAAAAACAGGGAGGAACCCCAGAAACCGGGAGGAACCCCAAAAACCGGGAGGAACACCAAAAAACCTGAGGAGGGGTCCCTTGTGGTGTGGGAAACTCAGGGGTCTCATGGGGACACGGTGCAGTCCCTGCTGTCCAAGGACGTGCTCTGTCCCTGACCCACTGTGGGGTCTGTCCCTGTCACCCCCAGGGCTGTACTGGGACATTTCCCCCTTTTCTCCAGGATATTGGGGGTGCCGTGGGGGATTTGGGGTGCCGTGGGGGATTTGGGGTGCCGTGGGGGATTTGGGGGTTCCCTCTCTGTCCCCTGGGTGCCCCCAGTACCCTGCGGCAGCACGAGGGCTCGCTGTCCCCAGAGCAGCAGGCACAGTTTGGGGTTCAGCAGGGGCTGAGGGGCTGGGGTCCCATCCCACCCCATTCCCATTCCCATTCCCACCCCATTCCCATTCCCATTCCCATTCCCATTCCCATTCCCATTCCCATTCCATTCCCATCCCCATTCCATTCCCATTCCATTCCCATTCCCCCGCAGGCAGCGACGCGGCCTCGCAGCAGGAATTCACCTCCTGCCTCAAGGAGACCCTGAGCGGGCTGGCCAAGAACGCCAATGACCTGCAGGTACTCCCTCCCAGCCCCTCCCGGGGGGCTCCCGGGGGGCTCCTGGGGCTGTCCCGGGGGTCCCGGGGGGCTGACGGCGCCGGGGGTCCCGCAGAATTCCCCGGGCTCGGAGGAGGAGCTGGCCAAGGCCCTGGAGGGGCTGGGGCTGGAGGAGGGCGGCGGGGACGGCGTCCTGCCCGTCATGCGCAGCATCATGGAGTCCCTGCTGTCCAAGGACGTGCTCTACCCCTCCCTCAAGGAGATCACCGAGAAGGTGGGACCCCAAAAACTGGGGAGGGGTACCCCAAAAACCGGGAGGAACCCCAGAAATGGGGGGAACCCCAAAAAACCTGAGGGGGGTCTCCAAAATCCTGGAGGGATTAGCCGGAAACTCAGGTGTGACGTGGGGGCATCATGGAGTCCCTGCTGTCCAAGGACGTGCTCTGCCCCTCCCTCAGATCACTGAGAAGGTGGGACCCCAAAAACCGGGAGGAACCCCAAAAACCGGGAGGGCACCCCAAAAAACCCAGGGAGGGTCCCCAAAATCCTGGAGGGATTAGCGGGAAACTCAGGGGTGACGTGGGGACATCATGGAGTCCCTGCTGTCCAAGGATGTGGTCTGCCCCTCCCTCAGATCACTGAGAAAGTGGGACCCCAAAAACTGGGAGGAACCCCAGAAACCGGGAGGAACCCCAAAAACCGGGAGGAACACCAAAAAACCTGAGGAGGGGTCCCTTGTGGTGTGGGAAACTCAGGGGTCTCATGGGGACACGGTGCAGTCCCTGCTGTCCAAGGACGTGCTCTGTCCCTGACCCACTGTGGGGTCTGTCCCTGTCACCCCCAGGGCTGTACTGGGACATTTCCCCCTTTTCTCCAGGATATTGGGGGTGCCGTGGGGGATTTGGGGTGCCGTGGGGGATTTGGGGTGCCGTGGGGGATTTGGGGTGCCGTGGGGGATTTGGGGTGCCGTGGGGGATTTGGGGGTTCCCTCTCTGTCCCCTGGGTGCCCCCAGTACCCTGCGGCAGCACGAGGGCTCGCTGTCCCCAGAGCAGCAGGCACAGTTTGGGGTTCAGCAGGGGCTGAGGGGCTGGGATTGGCTGGGATTTGGGGGTCATTGGCTGGGATTTGGGGGTTCCCTGGAGGATTTGGGGGTTCCATGGAGGATTTGGGGGTTCCCCCGGGTGTCCCCAGTACCCGGAGTGGCTGCGGCAGCACGAGGGGTCTCTGTCCCTGGAGCAGCAGGCACAGTTTGTGGTGCTGAGAGGCTGGGATTGGCTGGGATTTGGGGGTTCCCTGGAGGATTTGGGGGTTCCCTCGATGTCCCCCGGGTGTCCCCAGTACCCGGAGTGGCTGTGGCAGCACGAGGGGTCTCTGTCCCCAGAGCAACAGGCACAGTTTGGGGTTCAGCAGGCGCTGAGGGGCTGGGATTGGCTGG